ATGTTTTTCTGGAACTCTCGTGCTTTCTCCATGATCCAGCAAATTTGGCAATTTGATCTCTAGTTCCTCTGCCTCTTCGAAACCCATCTTTACTTCCCCTTTATTGCAACTGTGAGCTGTCATCCAATGGCCTTGTTTAGCATGACTAATTATCTATTTAACAAGATCTTCTGCCTGGCCATTCTAACCAATTTGCTCAGCATTTGGTTGATAGATACACTACAATCTTAATTCTTCATGGGCAATCTTTGGTGGTGACTGGGGCACTGTTTTGTCATATTACTTGAGATTCCTTCTGGCCTGTGAATTCTGAGAAAATGGAGAAGATTTTCTCTAGGTTATCCTCTGCCACTTGCAAGCTTGACTCTATTCCCGTCCTGGTTTATCTGTAGGACCAGGGGTAGTGTGACCACCTGCATTTGAAAGATTGTCAATGCCTTTCTGGCATTGGTCGCTCTCCTGGATAATCTCTATTGGGACCTGGATGACCAAAGTCATCTCTCAGCAGTTTTTGCTACCAGTGATCATGGTACCCTGCTGGATCTCCTTATGGGACTAAGGCTGTTTTACAGTAGTTCTGCTCCTTCCTCAACCTCTGGATTGATTCAGTCAGTAGTAGTGAAAGAGGAGAGGTCAGCACAACAGCCCCTGCTTTGTGAGGTTCTTGCTGTTTAACATCTATATGGAGCTACTAGGTGAAATTCTGATAGGTCAGAATACAATATTATCAGTATTCGGATGATACTCAACTTTATTTCACCATTCCAGGCTGTAGGGGAGATGTTTTTGATGTTATTTCCTGATAGGCTGTCAGGGTATGGATGGGACAGAACAGACTGAAGCTAAAACCAGACAAGATGGAAGTATTGCTTGTCCATTGAGGACAATACCAATGTTATTTCTGGATGGGTAGAAACTACTCCTGAAGGAACAGGTTCTAAACTTGGGGGTCCTTCTAGACTCCAGCTTCTACTAATACAGCAGGTAGAGGCCATGGCTGGGGGGACTTTGTTCAACTTTGGCTGGTGCACCATTTATAGCCTTACCTGGAACAAAAGGACCTTACTACAATGATTCATGCCCTTGTTACCACCTGTTAGACTACTGCAATGCATTTTACATGGAGCTGCTTATAAAAATAATTCAGAAACTACAATTAGTCCAGAACACAATGTCTCATGTGCTACCCAGCCCTCTTCATTGGGAGCATATTACACCTATGATATAGAACGTGCACTGACTATCAGTTACTTTCCAGGTGCAATTTAAAGCACTGGTTTTGACCTAGAAAGCTCTTTATGGCATGGCACATGGTACCAACAGAACTGATTGTTCCAGCCGGAACTGAAAACTTTACCTAGGGAGAAACTGCTCCTAGTGCCCTACTTTTGGAAGATAAAGGGAGCTGAGGACAGGAGCCATTGCTTTTCAGCAGCAGCTAGTTCTCTGGAGCAGTTCCCTCTGGAGGCCAGGCTTGCCCTTTCTCCAAAAACACTTGGAAGCATACTAAGAACAAATACAGTGGAACCTCGGTTCATGAACTTAATTCGTTCCACGACTCTGGTCACGACCCGAATTGGTCATGACCCGAATTGGTCGCGACCCGAAGCAAATTTTCCCATAAGGTTCAATGTAATT